TGATCAAAACTCTTCTAAACATCAAATTGAAAAGGATTATTATAGATTTTTAGTAACAAATGAACCTTAAGCAAATTAATTCTATCCAATGTTCCACAATTTATCTTTCGAATTCAGTAACACAAAAAAGAGAAGCCCAAGTGATCATGAACCTTTCATCCTGACAGCGACAAACTTGATTCCCGGAAAAGGAACAACTCAAATGTCAGCATAAAAAAAAAGATCAAGCTGTATAATTTCATGAAGGGATTTGCAAGTAATAATCAAGGCAAACACATGAGTTATATGAACATTCTAATCACATACTCAACTTCGCAGCAGACTGGTTACTAGCTCTACAACATATTTTAGGTACCAACCAAATCAAACAGTCCAAACAAGCTTATAAACAAAAAATCACGGCCAATGATCTTTAAAAGCAGCAGTTAATATTCTATTATAATTTCAGAGAAGTCAAAGTTGAAATGTGCACCTTATTGCGTAGAAAAGAAAACAAAATGCCAAATAAAGGCTGACTGAAGGGGACTTGGAGATCAGCAAGCAGAGATGATCAACAAACAAAACGACCAGCACTTCTTGAACTCAGAATCTCTTCTTAAACATCCTAGAAATATGCAGCAAAGAAGGAAAACGAAAAACAACTTTGAAATATTTTTTTTTCTGGAGTTTTTGTTCTTCTGGTAGTGAGGGAATATCTTTGGAAATCTAGAGTCAAGGCTAAGAGAGAGTCCCCTCAAATTATTCCCGATCCCCCTCTTTAATAGAATGAAAGTGTACTGTTGTAATGACTCGACCGTTCATTTTGAGAGTCGTATCCCCGTTCCCCCATTTCCTACTTCTTTTGTATTCTACACCTGTATTTTGACTTACCGGGTTAGTTGGTTAGGGTCCGGAGTGATTTTGGAGTGAATTGAGACACTTAGTCTCTTAATTGGAAGTTTAAGTTGGAAAAATCGATCGGATGTCGACTTACGGGTAAACAACCTCGGATTTGAATTTTGATAGTTCCGTTAGCTCCATTAGGTGATTTTGGACATAGTAGCGCGTCCGGAATGTGATTTGGAGGTCCGTAGTAGAATTAGGCTTGAATTGGCGAAAGTTGGAAATTTGGCAAATTTGACCGGCAGTGGAAATTTTGATATCGGGGTCAGATTTGATTTACAGAAGTTGGAGTAGGTTTGTGGTGTCATTTATGACTTGTGTGCAAAATTTAAGGACAATCGAACGCGATTTGATAGGTTTCGGTGTCGTTGATAGATTTTGGAAATTTCAAAGTTCATTAGGCTTGAATCCGGGTGCAATTCGTATTCTTTATGTTGTTTGAGGTGATTTGAGGATTCAACTAAGTTCGTATGATGTTATGGGACGTGTTGATATGTTGGGTTGAGGTCCCAAGGGTCTCGGGTGAGTTTCGGGTGGTTAACGGATCATTTTTGGCCTTGGTGAATTAGCTGATGTTTGTTGCTGCATTTTTCTGGTTTCCTCTTACGCGTTTGCAAGAGGAGCCTCGCGTTCACGAAGAGTGTTTCTGAGCTGGTGAGATTTTGTTATGCATTCGTGAAGGAAAGGACGCGAACGCGAAGGGTAGGGAAGTGTGTGCATCGCGAACACGTGAGTGGTGTCGTGTTCGCGAAGAGGGGTGAGGCAACTGGGGACCCCAGGTCTTTGGACTACGCGTTCATGAGGTGTTGGCCGCATTCGCGAAGAGTAAATATGAGAGGCAGTCTAAGATACGCGAACGCGAGAGGGCGGTTGCGTTCGCGAAGAAGAAAATCTGGATAGACAGTATTAATTTCAAAAACGAGGGTTTGAGCCTATTTTTCATAGTTTGAGATATACATCACGGATTTGGGCGATTCTTGAAGGGATTTTTGCGGAGTTGATTGGGGTAAGTGTTTCTTACTTGGTTTTGGTTAAATCCCATGATTTTATCTTTGATTTTATCATCTAATTTGTGATTTGGGGTGAAAAGTTGGGGAAGAAGATGAAGTGTTCTTGAGTTAGATTTTTGGGGTTTCGAATGGGATTTTGATATCAGATTGGAGTAAATTTGGTATGGTTAGACTCATGAGTGAATGGGCTTTCGGGTTTTGTAATTTTTGTTGGATTTCGAAAAGTGGGTCCGGGGGCCGGGTTGAGCCAATTTCGGTTTTTGAGGGTCTAATTTAGTAGTTTTCTTGTGGAATTGATCCCTTTAGCCTATAATAATTGTATTGTATTGCTTGTGGCTAGATTCGAGACATTTGGAGGCCGACTCGCGAGGCAAGGGCATTTTGGAGTAGCGTTTCGCTCGGATTGTGGTAAGTAACATTTATAAATCTGGTCCTTAGAGTATGAAACCCCGGATTTTATGTTGTGGGGCTATTTTGGAGGTGACGCACATTCTTGATGACGGGTGTGTGCGCATGCACCGAAGGGATTGTGACTTGATCCGTCCCGTGAGACTGTAAAGTCAAATAGCTTACTGTTAACTACATGTTCCCTCCATTTTATGGAAATTTGACTGCAATTCATGTTAGAAATCATGTTTAGGCCTTATCATATCATTGTTGGGACCCGTTGAGGTCGTGTACTTGTTGAATTAACTGCTATTTGCTATTCTGTTCTCAGTCATGATATTACTTGCGTATCATACCTCCGTCTCTTCTTGTTTAGTATTGATACATGATATTATCTCTGTTTGGGCTGATTTATATGATTTCTAAGAGCCTGAGGGACTAGAGAGGTTGGTGATTGAGATAGGGCTTGAGTGCCGAGCTGTGAGCTATGTGAGTGTATAAGGATCGGGTTGCACGCCGCATCGAGCCTCAGGGATATATATATATATATATATATATATATATATATATATATATATATATATATATATATATATATATATATGTATGTATGTATGTATGTATGTATGTATATTGGATCGGGTTGCACGCCGCAACGAGCCTTAGGGCTATTATGTATATTGGATCGGGTTGCATGCCGCAATGAGCCTTATGGCTATTTATATATTTGATCGGGCTACACGCTGCAGCGATATAGCGCTTGGGCTGAAGGAGCCCCTCCGGAGTCTGCACACCCCTAGTGAGTGCAGGTACCTATTGAGTGTGAGTACTGAGGGCTGAGAGCCAAGTGATTGAGCTATTGAGATGAGTTGAGTGACTGTTGCCTGAGAGGATGTACTTGCTTTTAAATTGTTGTTGAACTTAGTTGATATATGTCATTCTTGTGAAATTCCTTGAATATTTTATACCCGGTCTATTTGAACTTGAAACTGTATAAAACTGTCTGGACTTAAACTACCGGATATGAAAGCATGTCTATTCTTTATTGAAATTTTCTGAAATGAATTGTAGTTGTATAGCTCGTTACTTCTTCTCAGTTCCTTATTTGTTTCTGTTACTTACTGAGTTGGAAATACTCACGTTACTCCCTGCACCTTGTGTGCAGGTCCAGGTGTGAGCGGTCTCGGAGGTCAATAAGCTCGTGCGTGGTCGATTACCCGGAGATTTACGAGGTAGCTGTCGGCGTTCGCAGACCTTGTTCTCCCTCCTTGCTATTTTTTTTTTATTGACATTTAGACTCAGAATATCGCAAACACTGTATTTTTCTTAGACTGGAGGTCTAGTGCTCATGACTTGGTGACACCCCGATATTTGGGGCTATTTTTCTGCATTGTATTTTGAGTTTAACACTTGTGTTTATGAAAACTTTGTTAGAAAAAAGCTTTTGGTTTATCTTTTAATGAAATATCGAAGTATTTTGAAAGTCGGCTTGCCTAGTACCATCGATAGGCGCCATCATGACATGAGAGTTTTGGGTCGTGACAACTGTATATAGAAAAATCAGAGGAAATATAGAGGAATCTCTCAGGCCCCTACAAATTAGGAAAAATGGCATCTTTTTTTAATAGAATTTGGACAGCTGTCCTATTTTCAGAATCTTTTCTAATAGCTGTCCATTTTTTCCTATTTTTCAGTATTCTTTTTTCTTCTAGAAACATCTCAAAGACTCTCCTAGATTTCCTTATTTTCAATTAACTCCATCAAGTTTTTAATATTTACAAAATAGGGTCATCAGGCAAATATAGAGATCAAACGAAGCAAACAGTGATGCAATTTATCCTAGCAAACAACTTTAACAACCAAAACGTTCCAACATCTAATTAAAATCAAAGGTTGATTAAACAAACATTTTGTGCAATTAAAACTAATTAATATGCAATTAATTTGCTAAATATGCGACTAACTAAGAAATCCAGACGTGTGCATATTCAACACAAATATACTAATTAGATGTTAATCTACTGTTAATCAACAAATTTATGAGCCAAACTGACCCAATTACACTAGGTCACACAAATCTCAAACAACTAAAACTCTACTATTTTATCAAACAAAACAACAAAAGACTAAGATAGAAAAGGTGGAGGGTGTACCTATGGAAAGAAGTACACACTGATAGAGGTGATTCCAACGAGATTCGACCAGTCAGGACTGTGTCGACTGGATTCCGTCGACTTTCGAAGTGACCCAAAATTAGTGTTAGTCGATTGTTCAGGTTGAAGAACAATCAGTTACCACAAATTTTAGGTCAAACGAGTCAATAACTCCGAGAAAATCAGAAGGGGAGGCAGATTAGGTGTTTTGAATTCCTAGATCTACTATTCGTTGATTTTGGTGGGGATTTCAGTGAAATTGGTAAAGGATTTGGACTTAGGAGAAGTTGGGGCTATGGAGTGTGAATTTGGGGTTGTTTGGAGTGGTGGCCGCTGGTCACAAGGGGTTTGGGGATTTAGGAGGAGTTGAGAGGGAGTGAGGCTGATGAGAATTTTGTTTTTTTTTAGTCGCAATTTATTACTATTACTAATTATCACTTAGACGCAATTTCACGACAATATCGTGGTTTTCGGTTTAGCAAAACGACACTTGTACCTAAAGTTGCAAGAGGACAGATTCCCCTCATAATTACCTGATAAGAATCCTACACAAAACCGCTTAAGATTTTAAGACTCGATTCAAGCAACTCGTGATGTCCTTACACTAAACAACAATATACAATTTCAGCTTTTCTTACAAAGTTTATAGTAAATATCAGTCGGACATAATTAGAAGATACTTATACTGGAAAACAGCATCAGTAAAGGGAATTATCAAACACCCATGGCTCGTGCTGGAAAAGTTCACGACCATTCATCTGCACTATCCCTGCAGCTATATCCTCTGCACGCTTTCTAGCCACTTCAGCCTTTTTAGCTGATGCATCAGCGTTCTTTTGGCGCTTCCAGTTGAGAAATTGGGCTGCTGTAATGCGATCTGGAGTAGGGTTTGGAATTGATTCTTGTTGACGCTCTTCTGTTTCTTCCCCCATCTTCTTTTGTTCTCCAACTAAAGATCAATTCTTTTCTTCTATCTATCTATGGCTGATGAGATTTGAGAGGTTTGTTTAGGGTTCTTTTTT